GGGATGGTTGGGGAGATAATTGAATGATTCGTTGATTTGACTGCTGTAGGAAAGGAGGCTGGAGAGGTCCAGTGAGACAAGGTAAAGGAGAGTCATTGGAGGCTTCTGAGTAGGAGAGTAAAAAGTATTTAGAACGAGTCCTCTGGAGGTAGTGTACAGAATTCCTTAGAAAGGTGGGAGATGGATTTAAAAGATATTGTAGTAAAGGGATCGATTAAAGTGTGATTAAAAAGAAACAGATTGATTTAGAATGGCTTTTTTACAAGGAAAAATAATGCCAGGGCCAGAGTGCCTGGATATTGGCAGGGAAGCAAAAAAATGCCTTAGAGTTTTTGATCTTACGTGCCTGAAGACACGTGTTGCTCTTACATAACTTGGATGTTGAACAGGGAAGCAGGTGTGGTGAGGAAAATAGACTGGGAAATAGTATTATATATTACAGGGAAGTTTTTCTGTCTGAGTATGAAATCTTTGGTAATTGTATTAAAACGGTGGTTCTCTACTTACAGTATTATACCTAATAACGTGCCATTTTTGATCATTAGGTGCTTATGAATATTTATAGCTTCTCACCCATATTAATTAGAATCACTCTGATTTGGGTTAGGAAGTACTTACTCCTGTTCTAGTAGTTTTTAAGAAAAATAATTGCTTAATGAATGGTGAGGTAGAATATTTCTTTAGATCATATATTGCTGTTTATGATGCTTCCTAATTTTCAAAGTACTTTCATTTCTGCACTTACTTCATTTAACAGTAATCCAGTGAGATATGGGTGGTTTGGATTTGCTATTCACTTATCTTTTTTTTTAACTGCAGTTAAATTTGGCTCATTTTCAGATTGTAGCAAGTGTTAAATCTCAGTACAATTTTTCCATAATAATTGACTGGATCCGATGTTCTGCTTCTTGTCTCATAGCATCTTGTGCGTTATGTTAAAGTTCATTCCATTGGGTATACCTGTTAACTTTAGTGGGCCATAAATACTAAATGGCAGGGATATATTTTTCTTATCTTTGTTATGCCATTCAGTCAGTTTTTTCATTCACCCATCAATTACTGAACATGAGCCATGTCAGGCAGTGTATTAAGGTATTGAAATTACAGATAAAACGGTGTCCCTGCTTTTAAGCAGAGGGCAGTTTGAAGATGAGGAAGTAGTTACACTTCAGTGTGAGAAGAGCTATGATAGATGCACCTTATTTTTGAACTCATTAGCTGTGTGGTAGGTGAGTACATGTGATTTTTTTAGTGATGAAAATATTGGGTTGTCAGAAAAGTCATGACACATTTTTGCAATGAAAAACAGAAAAATACGTCATGACTTTTCTGACAATCCAATACTATTAGCAGTAGTTTCAGAAAAATTGCTATTGAGTTCAGAACAGTTATAAATTATGTGAATCATCTGTTCTTTGGATTATTCATGTTACTTCTCTTTTAGCAGATCATTGAATGAACATGAATATCATACCTTCCAAAGTCCATTTGAAATGGTGCATATAGAAATATATTGTAATTACCATTGTGTTATCCCAAACGCTAGGTATGGAAGTTTTTAAATTTTCTACATTTTAATTTATTTTTTGAGTTCTTGGTGATAGAGTGATCATTTATTATTGTTTTTTACAGCAGGAGAAATGTAGATCATGATGTTACTTGAGTTTTTTGTGTTTTTTTTTTTCTAAACAAAAAACTAAAATGCAGTGTATAATAGTATTAGCCTAACCATAATTGCTTCCTGCCTTTGGAGTTCTATGAAAATGTTCTGAGTATAACTTTTCTATTTATATTATGTGGGATGTTCAGGTTATGAATGATTGGAATTGAGACTGTAGATGCTCAGAATCAGTACATAGGGCTGCTGAATTAATTTTCCTCAGCAGTGATACAGAAGAAATAATAAAAAAAAAAACTGATGGATTTCACAATCCAGATTTTGATGTTTTGAGGGTGCTGTAACTAGTAATACATTTTTCAACTCTGAGGTATGTTTAAGGTAAAAATGTTCCATGGTATTTCTTTGGTCATTTAGTCACCGAAAATATGAGCTATAAATAGAAACCCAGTAAAATGTCCATTATATTTTTGTTTAATTCACATTTCTGATGTATAACTTTAGTTAAAAAATTTTTTTGTGTTACAATATTTTCTGAGGAAAGGAGTATATCCTTAAATTGCATTATTTTAATGTAAAAGATGTCAATTTTTCCAGAGGATTTTTATAGGTATGACATAGTATTGGCTATTGGCTTAATGATTGGGTTTAAGCATAAGTATTAATCAGAGATGAACTTATTCCTTAGGTTCACATTTAAACTCTGGCATGTTGAAATAATCTAGGTCTCCATCTGCACATCTGAATTCATTTTGTAAAATATGGCAAACAGCTGCATTTCAATTGAAAGCTAAAACAACTGTAGGACATTAACCCATTGAGAAGATTACAGTAGGTTTTCAGTTCCATGTTAACTGTATTTATTAGAGAAAATTGACTTGAGTGCTTCTGCTTTTAACCGACATTTTTAAAAAATGTCTGGGAGAAAGGAAATAAAGCATTGGAATGATAGGACTTTGATGTGTAAAGAAGTTAATGTCTAAAGAAGTTAATTATCTAAATCATCAAACAAAATGTGGGTACGGGAAATAATTATTTTAAAGATTCTAATGAGCTATCAACTCATGTCAAGAAAAATGTTATTCACCTGTTTGATTTAAAAATTAAATAACTTGACTGTGAAAGGATGATCATGGTTATAATAATCTAGGATTGGGACCTTTTACCTCTTGCCAATAAATACTCTTGATGTGAAACATTTGCAGTAGGAAGACAACCAAAGAAAGCTGTGGTTTTAATATGAATTTACTTTCTGAAATGCCTCCTCTTCCGAGAGTGTTAAAGCAGGGTGAATGGATTTGCAGAGTGGAGACGGCACAGATTGCTCCAGCAATGTTTCAGAACATTTGGCCATAGGCTAATCCCACAGAACGGCATGTCTTCAAATCTGACATAAATGAACTTAAATCCTAACTGTTTTTGGTGGCTGGGGTTACTACATAATCTTTGAGTTGAACGCTTTCTCCAGGATATCCTATCTCTGTCGGTCTTCTGTTGGGACAATAAGTGAAACGTTTTCTAAGGTTCTTAGAAAGCCAGGTTCCTTTTTTTATCCCGTTGTCCTAATTCTTCAGGACTGTTTCTAGAAGTTCTTGGTTTCCTATCTATTTTACCCCAGTCTTGGACTGGTGATGTGATTTTTGTTTTAAGCTGAGTTCTAAATGGCAATGCTTCTCTTTCTGTATTATTTGTAGAAAATTACTTATTCCAGAAGTCTTTGTGATAAAATAGGACAAAGTTAGGCTTAAAAAATGATGGTCTTTCATAGCAGTAGCTGCTTTATGTGTTTTAGAATTTCGGTTTTCAGGTTCAATTTGAAACTTTTCCTTTTGTTCCTCTGCTTTGCATTCTCTGGTGGTATTTACCTGGCCCTTAGGGCTTCAGACTAGGCCAGAGCATATGTCCCCAGATAGTTGGTCCTGCCTCAGAAGGATATTGGGATACTTCCAGTAAAGTCAGCCAGCTAGTTGTGCTCATGTCTTAGACCTCTGTCCTGTTGCCTTCTCAAAAGCTTCATATATGGCCTATCTTAGGCAGTGGTTTGTATTGGGTCATCGGGAAAGTCATGACGCATTTTTGCATTGTAAAACATAGAACAATACGTCATGACTTTCCCAACGACCCAATAGTAGGTTTATTTTCAGCCGCTTTTCATGGGGCCCAGCCCTTCCATCCCAGCTCTTGGTAAATGGCTCTGGTTCAGGTTTCCTTTATCAGTTTTAGCCAACATTTCCCACAGGAGTGGTCAGATTGGAGGATGTGTTAAAGAAGATAAACTTGGCAGCAGTGTGGAGAATGAATTGAGATGGAAAGAGAGAAGCTAGCTATAAAGAGAGCTCATAGAAGGCCATTGCAGTAGAGAAAGAGGGAGGATGTAAGAACGTACAGAGTTCATTTGGCTTCCTGCAGATTATAGGGTACAGAAGAAGGAGTCAAAGATAATGCCTGAGATTTTGAGCTAGGGTCACTAGTAGCAGTAGTAATGTGAGTAGTGAAAACAGAATTTATTTTGTAAGGAAACTAAATATTTGTTGCATTGCATTAAGGTCTTTTAGTGAAAATATTCACGTTTCTTAAACTTTTGTGATTATGAAATAAGGGTAATCATATAAAAGCTTTTAGCAGATCAAGAAAGAATTCTTAAGATCTTGGTTTATAATAATAGCTAACATTTTGTGTTTAGAACTGTTCTGGTCGTAGTAGTTTAGTTAATCCTCACAACAACCTTAAGAGGCTAAAATTATCATTCCCATTTTACAGGTGAGGAAACTGAAGCACAGAGAAGTTAAGTAATTTGCCCAAAGTGCTGGTAAAGTAGCAAAGCTGAGATTCAAACCTAGGCAGTCTGACTCTGGACTCCTCTTAATTAGTTTAAAGTTCTCAGTATTGCTTTATTTTACCATTTGTTCTAAATTTGTTAATTCTTCTTTAGATTCTGCAGAGTATTTTTATTTTAAGGAAAGTTATAGTATTGCAAAATTTATATGATCATGAATTAATAGCTAATATTTACTCGTATTGAGCACTTCATGTGTAATAATTGAGGCTTTTATCTACTTTCATTAATTTTAACGTTCTTTTTACTAATTCTTGTTTATGGCACTGCCATATTCATTAAATAAAATGGGATATATTAGGATGGGTATCTCTTTTCCCCATTATGCATCAGCTTAATTTTATTGGAAAAAAAAGGGCACAGTTTAAAATTGATGATTATATAAAATATCTGATCTACTGATTGACTTTATTTGTATTATTTGTATTTTAGGCTTTAGTTCAGATGGGGATTGGATTATGCTGTGGTTGTCTAATTTTCTGTCTTACAGCTGTGCAACTCTTTCTTTAAATTAAATCTTACTTGGAACCCCAATATATAAAGTTGAAAAAAATCAGAGTTTTTCTGGTGTTCTGGATGGAACTGACAAGCTACATGCATGGGGGCCAGTGGGAGCTCCCTGAAATATTGCCAGTGAGTCCTAGCGCTCCCTGGAACACATTTTGAAAACCACTGAGCTCTATTAAAATAGTTTAATAAGTATTTTTCTTCCCTTACTTATTACAAGATATGTACTGAAATGTTTTATCACTCAAGCAAGTAATTTCTTGATATACTTGAGTAAGCAGTTTTTTCCCATCTTACTATTTCATTTTAATAAAGAACATTTAAGTATGAACAAATCAGATTTACACAGAACAAATCAGAAATTTAAGATTTTTTATATTTTTTGAAGTAATTTGTAATTGCTTTTGTTTTCCATGCATTCATTTTTATAGTCAAATACTTTCTGTAAGTGTTATTTCTCTTTTCTATTTAGATGAATACTACTGCAGCCAGCCCAATGTCTACAGCCACTTCAAGTAGTGGAAGAAGTGCAGGGAAGCCTGTAAGCTTTGCAGCAGAATTACAGAGCATGATGTAAGTATGTCTCTGCATCTTACTGCTAGGTTAAGTTTATTCATATTTATAAAAGACAATAGAAATAACAAAATGTATAAACTTAACCGGGAAACTTGTACTTAAGTAAAAATGAATTGTCTAATAGCGTTTTAAACAGCCATACGCAGAAGGGGGCAATTAATTAAAAATGCTACAGTAGTACTATATTAGAAAAATATGTGTTGGTTCATCTTTATAAAAGAATGAATAATTATGTTAACCTTTTTGCTCTAAGTATTATCTGTGTTATGAATTGTTTATTACTTTTTTAGTTTTAGATTTAGAAAATTTGAATACTGATTATACTCTTGGATAGTTGAAATGTTTTCACAGAGAATTTCTCAGTTTTTCTCAAATGTTACAATAATTAGCCTAATGTAGTTTAGTTTTTAGTTTTGATAATATGTGAAATCACTGTATTTCAGAACATTGAAAAAAAACTTAAAACATTTTAAAAACACATTTATTCAGTTTTTGAGAAATTACGGTCATTAAGATTTCTCTCCTAAGGCTCTTTTCAGCTTGATTTCTGGCTTCTTGCGTTGAGTGAGACTGCATATCTTGATTTACTGGGAGGTAGTATATTTATTAGAAATATCTGTTGGCACATATTACTATTTCTTTATTGGTTCAGGAGACAATTATCTGCATAAAGGGACAACACATTAGAGTTTTTCTTTTCTTGTGGCTGCATTATTCCTGATATACCTGACAATTTTAAAATAATGTTTCTTTTGAATGTGTGTCTTCCTCTTGTGGGTATGTATTGATAGTCTTCACAGTGGATTAACTCCACAGTGTGATGTTTGTTGTTCAAAGGAAGAATGAGTTTGAGCATATGTCTAATGTTTGCTTAGTGAAAATGCTTTAAACAACATTGAAAACATTTAGGTCATAGTTTCTCAAACTGTTTGGTCTCAAGATCCCTTTACACTCTTAATTATTGAAGACTTTGAACAGCCTTTGTTTATGTGGGTTGTATCTATTAATATTTATTGCTTAGAGTTTAAAACTGAGAAATAAAGACTTATTAATTCATTTGAAAAAATAAACCTATTATATGTTAACATAAATAATATATATCCTATAAAATAATTATACTCTAAAACCCAAAATTGGAAACACATTTTCTTAGATAAGATGAGAATAAAATAAATGTATTAATTTAGGAGTTGTATGAGGTGAGCCTGTGTTTTAAATTATGGAAAATTTTAAGGGTTTATGCTTGTTTACACTTTTAGTCTGTACAGTTTATTAGTTTAAGTTTTTTTATTATTATTTTGTAGATTTATGTTAAGAATCTTTTATGTTGTATTATTTTAATTATGTTTAAAAACATTAAATGTGTTTGAGGTTTATAGTAAAATTAGGAAATTCATTTTCCTATAGAACCAGTTCACTGATTTACTTAGTGTTTTAAAACATTATATTATATATACTACATATATTATAGAATAGAGTGTAATGAACCCCATGCATCCATCATCTGGCTTTAACAATAACTGTGTTTGCCAATCTTATTTAACCTTTTTCCCTACTCTCCACTTTTTTTTAATGCAGTGTTTTAAAGGAAATCCCAGACATCATATTTTAAATTTGGTGGTATTTATTAAAACAATATAATTTGTTGGTAGGTAAAAAATGTGCTGTATAGCAGCGGTCAGCAAACTATGGCCGTGGGCCCACGGACTGGCTGCCTGTTTTCGAAAATAAAGTTTTACTGGCCCACAGCCACACTCATTCACTTATCCATTATCTATCTCTGCTTTCATGCTACATGGCAGAGTTGAGTATTTGTGACAGATACCACATGGCCTGTAAAGCTGAAAATATTTACTATATGGCCCTTTACAGAAAAAGCCTAATGACCCCTGATCTGAAGAAACAGCTTTCCATACGAAGAAAACTATATTTCCTTTTGTCATTTATACTTTGGAGAGATTCTACTTAGTGCATTTGATAGACTACAGGCCACTTAAGAAAACTGAGAGAAAAATAAAATAAAAGCTAAATTCAGCACTTTCATATTAAATACTTTTGCAAACATCTTCCCAACTAATGTGCTTAAGCTGGATTCAGAATGCAGAAGTTATTGTTGGCTACAGCTTTGGAAGAAATGTACATTTTCCTTCTATTTCAGACCTCATAGAGAGGCCACTCCTAATAGTTACATTCATCATTTATAGTCTGAAGTTATTTTTTTCCCCTTATGAATTGCTTCATAGAGCAAAAGTGTAAGGCAAAAATTGGGGGAATGCTTTTTAATTTACCAGTATTTTCTATTGGTATAAGATTTTCAGGCTTTTGTTATATAAAATTACAATCAATAAACATTTGATTTATTGCTTATGTGATTTCAAATGAGAACGTGCAGACTTCAGTCTGTGTTTCTTTTGTGTTGTTGTGTTGTAGGAATTTCATTCTGTGAATCCCTACCTTTTTTTCCCCCCCTGCAGCTTTACAGTTCCTCTGAGCCTGTTTGTATTGTATTACTGTTTCTTAATCCTCTACTGCTACTGTTTTCCCCACCCATTCACCACTAATGACCTGTTTTCCTCTTGGGTCCCAGCCCTCTAACTGACAGTGTTGTAGTGTCATTTCCAGGGAATGGTTTCAGGTATCTAGTTGTCAAGCACAAATGAAATTGTCATGATCTGCTGTTAAATATAGAACTGGCAGCCAGTCTGTTCTACTATTAGAGCCTTGATAGAATTGACCATATTTTAAGTTTGGGTGGTAAATACTGCCAGTGAAGCATTCTTTAGGAAGTGCTTCTACAGATTTTAAATTAAAGGATTAGCAGTCAAACAATTGCTAGCGTGTTGGGGATGACAGCGGCTTTCCCTTACCTAGTACTTAGAACTGAGCACATTAGCTTTATGCTGCTTATCAGAGCTCTTTGAATAATGTGTGCCGGAAGGGTCCAGAGGCTTTTCATTTTTAAGTTCGTGAACTCAAGTAGCCTGTAAATTAGAAGTGAAACCTTTTCAATTCACATTGCAGGTATTTTAAGAAACTTCTTAAAATTTTTAATTAATTTAAGTGCACTTCAAGAAGTCTTCATTGGGCTCTCTTCTTCCTTAAGTATTTATATATTTCTTGACTTGTATTTTTCAGGTTTATAGACCTGGGGTGATGAAGCCAGGTTTCACTGCTTGGTAACATTTAATAATTCTCAAGTGATGAAATTTAAAAAAAAAGAGCATTTTTGTTTATATGTTACTTGTATTTTGTAAGAATTCTTTCAAATGAAAATTTCATCTTTATTTAAAATCCACAGATTGAAAACTAACTTTTTTAAATATTAGTTTTCTTTATATATGATAAAATTTCCTCTTTTAATTGTATAGTTCTGCAAGTTTTGTATTTTTTAAAATCAACATTTATTGAGCCCTTATATGGCAGGACCTAAATGCCTTCAAGGTAATCTAGCAGTAGAGAGGGGTTTTGGAGACAAATAATTGTCACGTAATAGGATGTGACAAAATCCCTGCTAGTACAGAGGAGGAAGTGATAAACTTCTGAGGGTTAGCTTCCCAACTTTCGGTCTGTGCCCCTGATTGCTCCCTGGAATGTGCATTAAGCTTTTTGTGAACACTTTGAACTTAGTATGTCCAAAACTGAACTCATAACTTTCTCAATAAGATTTGCTCTTCCTCTTGGGATTTTTTGGGACAAATAGCAACAACCATGTATTTATTGCTGCACTAGACTAGGGCATAGTTGTATATGTGAAATGGTGCCATTTGGCTTTTATTTAGCATTTTGAAGTTATGAGCTGTGGAAGAATATGTTCCCAGTTCTGTCCTTACCTTAATCTGACTTTAAAGAGACCTGATGTAAAAATATATGAATTAGTAATAGATGTTTATTAAACTGACACAAGGTTTCTTCAAATATTGAGTTTCCATGATGCATTTAGGTTTTTCAGGAAACTGGAGGAAAGAGAAATTCTTAATGGTAAAAAATACTAACATTACTATATTATAATTTCAGAGATGCTTTCATAATATCAGTAATAATAGTGAATGCTTGTACAGAGCATAATGTGTACCAGGCACTCTCCTGAGTGTTTCCATATACCATTTCATTTAATCCTCATACAGCCCTATGAGGTAGATACTGTTAGTCCCATTTTACAGATGAGAAGTTGAGATAGAAAGGTTAGTAACGCACTGAAAATTGCCATTATAGTAATTGGCAAAACCTGGATTTAAGCCAGGAAGTCTTAACTCCAGGGTCCATGCTCTTGACAAATTATGCTAAACTACATTTCAATCAATAAAACTTTTATTTTGATTTATAAAATTTAGTGAACAAATGAACTTTTACCAGTTTATGTGTGACTGGTGTGCTATAATGAAGTAATGATGTGGAAGCTAAATAATTGTTCAGTCAATTACTATTATTAGTAATGAGGTCTAATTTTTATAAGAAGTATTGGATTCAGTTGTTATTTTCATATTATTATAGCATTTATTTCAATTTCCTATACCTAACGACCAAATCTTTTTTAGCAAGGCCATATCAGGAACCAAGAGAAAATATAATTTTTTCATAGAAACGATGTATTATATACTCCTATTGGATGCTCATATTTGTGATATTTCATAATTTTGGATATAAATGTGGCCACATTGTTGTTGAATATTTAAATGTTTATCCTACTTTTATATTTTATCACTATTAAATAATATTTTAATTTCTGATATTTAAATTATACGAAACTATGTGTATAAACTTACCCTTGTGCTTTTTGTGCAGTGCATCTATTTGGAATATTTTAAGATACACACTGGTTTATAAACATAACAAGAATGAGGATATATAACAAAATATAATATAACAAAATTATATTAAATTGCTCACAATCCATCCTGACAGTGAGAAAATGTGTCAAAGCTGATTTAGAACATAAAAGCACTGTGTAACTGAAAGTTGGTTGTACTTTCTTTTCTTTTCAGAAATGAAATAAGGAA